GTAACATTCTGTGGATCCCAAGACAACCAGAACGGAGAAGTGATGAAGCCAGTGGCCCCAGGGAGCCCTGAGCTCTAAGTGTAGGAGGGCCTGTCCCTGAAACAGGGCCAAATTACCAATTTTCTGCTTCCTTCTCTGCCGTTGCTGCAAACAGGTCTCAGCCTTCTCCCGGCTGTTCTCAATTACCGATTGGGGCTTTTCAGAGTGTCACGAGGATCTTCCGATTGCTCATCTCCCCACTCAGCGGCTCCCCTCTGTTCCAGGCGACGAGCGGCCCATAAATCCTGGACTCCAGCAAGCTGGAGATCAGTTCACTTGGCTTTAGGATGGGCCAGACGGTGGAACCCACCCCAATGCTGCTTCCCCTCTCCTCCATCAGCTCCTTAGCAGGCCTGCTCTGTCCGACCCCTTAGGTGGCAATTGGAGTGGCGGTGCCTTCCCAGCCTCAACCCCTTGAGTGTAGGAACTCAGCAGTGCCAGGCCCTTCCCCCTCCCCTGGGACATCTGCATTCAATTAGAAGTCCACTGGAAGCCATCAGAGAAGGCTGTTTAGCTTCTGGCCTCTCAAGGCTTAGCGCCTTCAATTTTTTATTTTAAATACTGCATACGGAGCAGCCAGCTGTGGGAAGCATTTACAATTCAAGACCTTTTTGTCCCCTCAAAAAAAAAAGTCCCAAACTAAGCAGTTTTTAAAACTAAGTTCTTACTGGGATGGAGAAATGTTTTGTTTTCAGGCTTCTAGCTGGTTGATTTTTTTTTCTCCTGTACAGAAGGCAGAGTCAATTTATTTAGAATCAATTCAATTCAGCTCAAATAAATTCAATACAAGAAGTGTTAAACAGCTATGTCCTAGTCACTGTGCTAGGCTCTGCCCTCAAAGTGTTTCTATTTTATTGAGAAATACCATACATACAAAAAAAATACAAAATATATACACAGGATTGGAGGAAGGGGATGGAAGGGCATCCAGAAAGCTCTCCTGTAGGAATTAGCATTTCAGGTGACCTTGGTAGAACTAGGGATTCTAAGAGTGAGGAGGGAGAACATTCCAGGCACGTGCAAAGGCAACAAAGGTGGGAGACATAACATCTCGTACAGGGGGCACAAGTGAGCCAGTTTGCATATGTGTTTCAGGACCAACCTAGAAAAGCTGTGACAAGATGCTCATAGCAGGTTCGCCACCTCAGCAGTCAGGAAGGTGAGTTCAAATCCTACCTCACATACTGGCTATGTCACTTAACCTCTCTGCCTCAGTTTCCCCATCTGTAAAACAAGAGGGTTGGACTCAGTGGCCTTAATAGTCCCTTCTAGCTCTAAATCTATGACCTGTTAAGGTACAGAGGTGTGGTCATTAGCATTGGTGGAAGGACTACACTAATGAAATCAGTTCCTGAAGTGGAAAGTTTTGAATATCTCCCTCAGGAAGTCTTCTCTTACCATAGCCTCTCCCAATCACTCCCACTGCACCAGCTTTAACATCATCATCATCATCATCATAATAATAATAACTGACAATTTACAGAGTTTTAGAGTTTGTAATATCCTTTGCTTATATTATCTCATTTGATTCTCAGAATGTAATGAAAAAAGTAGGGATAAGGACAGAGAATAGACCTGTGATTTCCTTGGCGTAGTAAACTCCCAGGTGAGGTAACTCCCTCTCCCAGTGCAGGTGAGCACCTTCTCAGCAACTCATACAGCTGCCTAGAGCTCTGAGTAGTTAAGTGATCAGCCCAGAATCACACAGAAGTGGGCTTACGTATTCCTGGCTCTCCATTCAGCTTTCTCTCCATGCTGCCTCCCTTTGTAAACACTACAGGTATTATTCCTATCTTACCAATGAGAAATTAAATGACCCACCCATGGTCACATAATTTGTAAGAGCCAAAGCAGAATTTGAACTCGGGTCTTTCCTATTTTCAGGTCGTGCTCTCTCTTCCCCACACTATGCTGCCTTTCCCAGAGCACTTAATATATGCATGAATATACTTGCATGCTTCTACCCTGGTATGTTTCCATGGGTGCACAGACTATCCTCTTGGGTAGATTTTCAGCTTTTGAAAGGGAAGAGCTTGTATCTTTTTCATTAGCATCCTTTGGAATACCTAAACAGAGAGCTGTGCAAGAAGGTTTTCTTCAATAATGTTGTATTGAATGAGTGAGCCTCATTTAGTGTTTTTTTTTCCCAAAAGAGCTTTCTGTGCAAGAGGAGGGGTTAGCAACAACCCAGCACTGAATAGCAAACTGCTCACTAAAAAGGCTCAAGGGACTAGGTGTGAAAATGAATTCTGCTCATATTTGCTTAGATTCAAGTGTCTGGAATATCCAGGAGACTCAACTGTCCATCCATTGGCCGAAGCTGTTCCAAAGTCAAAGGCCTCTGGATGTGAAATGATCAGATTTTGTTGAGGGGGTAAGGTTATCTTATACAAACCTCTGAGCTTACTCATGGGAAAAAGATTCCTAGAGGAAAAGGGACTTGCCCCTGGTCATACGACCAGTAAGTACAAGCAAGAGTCAAAAGGCAAACCTCAGACAAGTCTATGCTCTATTTCTTTGCTACCCACCTTTCAGCCCTTCACAATTTGACTTCCAATTCTCTACTAGATCTGTTTCCTCCAAGGTTAAAAAAAAAATCAGTGGCTAAATCCTATGACTTTCTCAATTGCACCCTCCATGATCATTCTATGGCTTTTGACAATACTGACCACCCCTTCCTAGGAGTTATTTGCTATCAGGCCGGTTCTCTCTCCATGGTCTTGTATTTATTTAACTGCCCATTTTGAGTCCCCTTAGCTGGTTTTTCATTCATTTGGCTGACAAGCATTTAAAATGCCTGCTGTGCCAGGTATTGTGCCAGGCCTCAGGGGTACAATAAAAATCCCTGAGGGATTTATGCTCCATGGAGAACATCCACCTCTTTGTCATCTTTTGGTTTATCATTTGCCCTCTCCACTCTAAGTGTGAGTATCCCCTCATGCACAGACATGTTTAGAAGGATGTCGGTGCCTTTGACAAAATAGCTAAGTTAAAAGGAAAGACATGTTTAGGGGAAAGGTGATAAATTCTGCTTTGGAAATGATTAAGATTTTTGTTGCTGTTATTCAGTAATTTGTTGTGTACAATTCTTCATGATCCCATTTGGGGTTTTTCTGGCAGAGACTGGAGAGGTTTGCCATTTTCTTCTCCAGCTCATTTTACAGATGAGGAAACTGAGGCAAACAGAGTCACAAAGCTAGCTGAGTGTCTGAGGCCAGATTTGAACTCGGGGAAGATGAATCTTCCTGACTTCAGGCCTGGCGCGCTATGCACTATACTGCCATCTAGCTGCCCCCTTATTTTGAGATGCCAACGGGTTATCCAGTTGGAAAGATCCACAGGTAGTTGGTGATATGGAACTGGAACTTGGGAGAAAGATGAGGGCTGGACAGCAATTAATCAGTGAACATTTATTAAACACCTGCTCTGTGCTAGTTACTGTGCTAAACACTGGAGACAGAAAAGAGGCAAAAGATAGTCCAGAAAGAGCTTACAATCTAACAGGACAGACAACATGCAAACAAATGTATATAAAGCAAGCTATACACAGGATAAATAGATATTTAATAAAAGGAAGGCACTGGAATTAAGAGGACCTGTGGAAGACTTCCTGTAGGTGAGCTTTTGGAGTAGTGCTAGGGAATAAGGTATAAGAAGACTGGAAAGGTGGGGAAGGGGCTAGGTTATGAAGGGCTTTGAATGCCAAATGAGGAGGGGTATGTATGTGTATGTTATACATATATTAAAAAAATTAAATAAAATAATTTAAAAATCTTTTGACCCAGTGAAACCAATAATGACCACATACAAGAGTTCAAAGGCAAAAGGACCAAATATTTATAACTATTTTTTTTGTAACAATCAATCAATAAACATTTATTAAGTGCCTACTATGTTAAGTAATGGAGATATAAAAAAGAGGCAAAAGACAATTCCTGCCCTCTAGAAGCTTATAATCTAATGGGGAAAACAACAAACAAATATATACAAAACAGCTATATACAGGATAAAAAGGAAATAATTAACAGGGAGAAAGCACTGGAATTAAGAGGGGCTAGAGGAGACTTCCTGTAAAAGGTGGAATTTTAGCTGAGATTTAGAAGCCAAAGAATTAGATATGGGTGATTACCAATTGGGAAATGGTCAGGAAACAGCTGAACAAATTGTGGTATAGAAATGCTGTATCACTGTGAAAAAAATATAATATTAATTCAGAGAAATTTGGCAAGACTTAAACAGAAGCAGAGAAAAATAAGTAGAACCAGAGTAATTTATACAATGACCTCAATAACGTAAAATAAGTTACCGAAAAATATCAAGACCCTGGAGCAATGTAGTGACCACTCATGATTTCAGAGTATATTTTTAGCAAATATAACTACAGACACTTGGCAGAGAGGTGGTAGACTATAAGTGCAGAATAAGATAGACATTGTTATACCTGGACAACATACTGAATTGTGTTGCTTAATCATTATTTGTTTCAGTAACAGTTCTATTGAGGGTCAGGCTAGGGATATGTCCCTGAGAAATAAAAGGGATGTAAATAACAATTTTTAAAAGTGATACAAACAAATAAAAATGAGAGGAAGGAAATAAGCATTTATTAAGCACCTACTATATGTGTGAGACAGTGCAAAGCACTTAACAAATATTACTATCTGCATCTTTGCTTGATTTCAACTCCATGGAACAAGATTCCCCTCCAGCCAACCTCACCCCCCACTTCCCTTTCTAGCTTCCTTTTCTGTGTCTTCCTCCATTAGACTGTAAACTCCTTGAGGGCAGAGACTATCTCTTTTACTTATTTATCTCCCCAGCACCTAGCACAGCACCTGGCAGATAGTAGATGCTTAATACACATTTCATGAATTGAACATTATCTCATTTGATTTTCACAACCACCTTACGAAGCAGATGCTATTTTTACAGATGAGGAAACTGAGGTAAACAGAGATTAAATAACTTGCACAGGATCTGAATTTAGGTATTCCTGACTCTAGGCCCAGGGCTCTATAAGCACCACCTATCTGCCTTACATGTAGCAACAAGTGGTTATCTACCACCAGCCGCTTTGTGCCTCATCTCTGACTGGCACAACCAATTACAGTATGCCCTATTTTGTAACAACTTGCTAGACAAAATGTATAAACTTACCAGCTTAAATTAAATTAGGAGTGATTACAAAAATGGTCTATTATTTACAGAAGGACCCCACTGTATATTTCTTTTAAATGTGAGTCTCCCAACTTGTCTTCCTCTGTCCCTACCCGCAAAGTATTTAAAATAGCCTCTGATTTACAAAAATTCAGCTCACACACACTTTTCAAGCACGCCCTTAGAAGGTGAAGTGTTTTAGATGTATCAGCATCAGCCTCCCAGAACCACATGCACTCAGCACCAGGTCATCAGGTGAGTTACAGAATCCCATTCCCTCGCCACCAAAGCCCCCCTCATTTTTCTCCAGTAATAAAAAGGTGAACGTTCTTTTTGGACTGAAGCATCTGGGCTGCCCGCTCCACACCAACCACGGCTGCCAGCCTCTGGGCATCATACTTTGAATACAAGACAGTGCAGGTCCATGTGGCTTCCTCCCCCCCACCAGTGGCTTTCAGCATATTGCAGACTTCACTGTAGAAATGGGGGTAGGTTGGCAACTCATAGAAAATCAGATTCCTGATGCCCTTTATTGTGTACCTGTTGGAAAGACAAAGAAATACCAAAAAAAAGGCATGTGTTGAGCACATCAGTAGGAAAGACTTCATGAAAAACTACTAAGCTTTTCTGACCAAAATAGTCAACTCTTGGTTGTCCATATGAACGTATAAATAAGTGTGTAAGGGGAGAGACAGAGAGAACTTGGTTTCCCCATCTGAAAAATGAGGCGGTGTGATAGTTGAGCACGCTTGTTAAGGAGCTGGCAGAGAGAGAACTGAAAAAACATGACTGACGGAATAAGGTCCCAGGTGAAGCAGAAGGGAAAGGTCAGGGAGAGGCATTAGTAAAGATACCTATTCTTCTGTGAGAAGGAAAGTTAATAAGGCATCTTTTTATTTTTTAAATGGAGGGAAAAGAATAGAAAAAAAAAGTTATTTTAAAAAGGGCAGACAAGGAGCAGCTAGGTGGTACAGTAGATAGATCACTGGCCCTGGAGTCAGGAAGACCTGAGTTCAAATCTGGCCTCAGACACTTGACACTTACCATGTGACCCTGGGCAAGTCATTTAACCCCACTGCCTAGCCAAAAAAAAAAAGCCAGATAAGTAGGACAGCTTTGAAAGCCACAGTCTGATCAAGAAGTACACAAACCCCAGACGGGAGACAGGAAAAGAAATGGCCTCAGAAGGAAGTTTGGAAAGGGACACAGGCAGTATTAGAACTATCACGCCAGTCACAAAACAACTGAAGACGAATGCTGCAAAATTACAAAGTATAAGTATGGACCCCAAGAAGAAATATAAGAAGACACCTCCCCCAATCCTTTGCAGAAGTGGGAGGCCCATAGATGTGCAGTATTAACATATATTAACAGAATTTTTTAATGGATTGATTGGTTTTGATAATTTTTTCTCTCCTTCCTGTTTTAAAAAAATATTCTTTATTATACAGGATAGCAATCTGAGAATGAGGAGGCATATTGGGAGTAATTTAGGCAGCGTGAAAATAAAAGCTGTAACATAAATTTATTATTTAAAAAACTACCATATAAATTTGAACTATACTTAAAAAAAAAAAACACAGTACATGGTAGAGATTCAAGCTTCCTACACAATCCTCTTTTCTGTTCTTCTTTGAATAGAGAACTCTTCATGTTTTAGATGTTTGGCAAATTCATAATAAAAAGGCAACAACAACAACAACGACAAAATTCTTCCAGAAACAAAAAGGAGAAAGCAGCCTTTAGTGGAGAGAGTACTCTTGGGAAGAATAAAGTTTCTGATAGTCAAGAGGCCAAGGGAATGTTGGTTGAAAAAATCGAAGATAGAAAAGGAGTGTTTTGGAAGATGAATTAAAAGAACCAAGATGCACAGTGGAATGAGCGGGAGATGAGGTTGCACTAAACCTTGAGAATTTAGGGTTGATTTGGTTAGGAAAAGATAGTATGGGAATGGCTTTTAAAAGAAAAGTAGAAGACAGATCTGACCATATCACTCCTCAACTCAAATATTTCCTGTGGCTCACTAATGCCTGCGATAAAACACAAAATTCCCAGCCAGGAACCCAATACAATATAGGTCTCACTTATCTTTCTAGGCTTACTGCATACTAATTCCCTCCTTCCACCCTCCACCTTCCACCCTGTTTCAGCACCCTCCTTCCCTGCCAGTCAAACTGGCCCGCCAATTGTTCCCTACACATGACATGCCACCTCTGACTTTCAAGCCTCTGCCCGGGTATTTCCATATGTCCAGAATGCACTCCCCCTTCATCTCCATCTTGGCCCTCTAGTTTCCTCTAATGAGGATCAGAATTTAAGAACATCATGAAGCACCAAGCTGTATCTACTGACAGTCATTTTTTTTCTTTCATCTCCATTAAGAAACCAGATAGTAAAATAAATTTTTTCATCCAAAGTAAAAAATTTTGTGTCACTTGAGGCTCTGTGTCACTGACTTCGAAAGGCCTTCTGTGATGCCAAGTTCTGTATTCTGCAAACAGTGTGTGCTTCTTTATCTGCATACACACGTAATACCCTCCTAGTATGAGACTCCCAGAGGGGAGGGGCTGTTTTATTTTTTGTCACTGTAACACGGTGATGGTCCATGCTGGACATGTAATAAATGCTTTTTGAATATTTCATCCAGGATATGAGGGGGTTGGAGCCTCTGTGTAACTCCACAATCCTATGACCTATGATTCAGTGTAATAAAGGTAAATTGGTACAGCATGTTGTTCCTTTGGCAGAATTTAAGGAAGGAAGGCTAAGGAAAAAACAGAAAGCTCTTTACAAAATAAGCTTCTGTTCACTGAACCACACACAAGGCTAGGGCCCAGAAGGGGAGATCAGAGTTTGGAATCTGCTAGAGAGAAGCAACAAAACGCATCTGAAGGAGTTATCAGTCTTACCAGAATAAGATGAGATGGAAATGAGGTAAGACGCTGGCCCACCACTCCCCTCTCTCTTTAAAAAATAAAAAACTCTTCAAAGTTTCAAAGCCCCTGTTAGTCACAACAATGCTGCTCTGCTTTCTTCATGGCAGACATCCCAAGTCCATCTAGTTACAAAACCCTGCTGGAGGACCCATTAGAAATGACAGGAAAACAATTAGTTTTAACAGCCTGAGCAATTCAAGTGCTTTCCTTGGGTCACCATGCCCCCATGTGCAAAGCCAACACACAGCAGGGAGACTGACCTGTCCTCTCCCTCCCCCCAGGGCTGCCCAGAAGGTTAGGGCTGAGGTTGGGTGCCACCTCCCACCAGGGCTCCAGGCATGTCCTGCCTTTTCCACTGAAGCTTCTGCCGTTCTCTTCACACCCCCTCCACCCTCCACCCACCACCCACCACCCCTGGGCAAGTCAGAGAGGGAAATTTCCTGCCTTCCTGCCCCATGGCAGGTGTATATTTGGTCACAAATTCCCTAGGAGGCCTTTCTTCCCTACTCCTCCCAAATTTACTCCTTTCATCTCCCCAGCCCCCAGGGATAATCATTCATCTTTGGGTACCTCCTAGGAAAGTACCATTCCAGATGGATCTATACCACCCCCACCCTTACAAATACCTCTCTTTCTTCCTCTATGGATGCTTTCCATCCCTCCCCCATCTTGGCTTTTTTCTCCTGCCTTAGGGTTTCTAGGGACACTTAAGACTTAACCCTTTCAATAAACTAATTAAAAATATTTAATAAAAAAAAAACAACTTAACCCTTAAGCAAGATCCTAAATCTAAAATGAAGGAACCCTGCACAACAGAGCTTCGCTTTCATTTGCTAATTATCCTCCTCTAAGATTTCCCTTCTTATCAGCCCTTGAGGCAGTGTGGTAAGGTAGGAAAAATGTTCAACTTGGAATCATTAGAGATCTGGGTTCAAAAGAGCCTTTGAACCCAGGTCTCTCATGATTCATTAGCCCTCACACACGGTTAATGTCTCTGAGGTGTACAAGGGAGAGTCAAGAATACTCACACTGCCTGCCTCCCACAGAGGGTGACAGTGAGCAAAGAACTTCCCAACACTTAAAAGGACTCCCTAAATGTGGCTTATTACGGTTATTTTAAGGAAACCACAATTACCCTCAAGTTCCGGCCTGAGCTAGACTATGCAATTTCCTCTCTGCTCCCCCCATATCTCCCAAGGGAAAAGCTTGAGGACAAATACTGACCCCGGGAGCTCTCACCCAGGACTTCAGGTACAGTAACAGTGACAGAAAGTGGCTGTACTTCTAAATGTTATCCTGACCTTGGCATAATGGCTTTTAGGCTTAATTTCTACAGGTCACTGCTGACATAAATGGATTCATGCCAACTCTTCAAGTTAGGACTGGGTGTGATTGTTCCATTAACAGGGAGGTCTGGTGTCTTCCCAAGTTATTAATTGGGGATGTGACTGAGAACCTCTCTGGAGACTTGTCACATCTGAAGACTACTTCTAAAGGCACAAAGGATATTGCAAGAAGGAATTTAGAGAGCGAGGCAAGGGCTTCATAAGAAAATGGGAGGCACTTAGCTTAAAGGAAAGAATACTGAATCTAGAGACAAAGGATCTGGGTTCAAATTCAGCCTCAGACACTTACTAGCTGTGAGATCCTAGACAAGTCACTTTACTGCTCTTTGCCTCAGTGTTTCCTCATCTGTAAAATGAGAATCATAACAGCACCTACCTCCCAGGGTTGTTGTGAGGATGAAATTAAATCATAATTGTAAAGCACTTGGCACCGTGCCTGGTACACTGTAGGTGATACATAAATGTTAGTTATTACTGTTGTTATTACTGGATCTGGAGACTTGGGTTCCAATCCACCTCTGAAGCTTACTATCAGTGGGAGTTTGACCTCTTGGGGCCTCAGTTTCCTCATCTGTAAAATAAAAGGGCTAGACTACGTGACCTTTGAGGTCCCCATATCTGTGATCCTCCTCAGGAAAGGCAGATCTGGGAAATAAATGGTTGTTTAAGAAGATAGTGTCTGACAACAGGTTTTTAAAATTCTGAACCATAGCTTAAAAGAGAGGAGGGATGGGTTCTCAGCCAGAGATAGAACATACTTAACAAAGGTGTCTGGAACCTCATCAAAGAGGCTTTAAATTGAGAAGGGAGAGGGATAAAGCGACCTAAATGGGTCTATCAAACAAGAGAGCACCAAGAATAGGTAGGCAAGGTACATGGCTGAGACACCCAGAAATTCACTGAAGACAAAATCCAAGAGAATATACTGGGCAGTGCAAAGAACCTGGTCAGGACTTCAGATACCACCTCTGACACATAATAGCTGTGTGACCCTGGGCAAATCACTTAACCTCTGTCTGCCTCAGATTAGGTGACCTTTCAAGGTCCCTTTCAACTGCTGTAGGTAAATGCAATAAAGGTAAACTGAGGTACACACTCTGAGCAAAATCAGTTTATTAACAGTGATGCACATAATTGTTAACAGAGTGGGTCAGACTGGCCCCCTCAGTAAGGCCAGCGACCCCAAGGAGAAGGGGGGACCCTTTTTACTGACATGCAGAAAAGGAGGGGGAAACTGAGTAGCCTGGGCACCTTTTGC